ATTGTGGGGAAAACAAGAATAGACCCACTGCCTCCCCAAAAGCATGTCGTAAGAGTCGACTAACTGGGGAGCTTCCTTTGAAGTCGGAGTGCATCTGCCTGAGAGGCAAGGAACCAGCAGTCTGCATTCAATTGAATCAGATCTGTAAAACTGATGCACACGCAACACTCAGGTTCTGGAACAGGACTGCAGTCCAGAAGTGGACGAACAACCAGAACTTTACACCAGAGTTTACAGCTGGTGAACGCGAACGAAGAAGAAGAATCTCTTACATACGAATAGTTATACTTTTACTTTTACTCAGGTTAGGGCGCCGTGGACACATTTTACTTGGAGGAGAACAAAGGCGCCGCGATAAAGACAGGTTTGGGAAACACTGTCCTAAACGGTTGTTCACTGCTGACTCTGCACTTGGCGGTAAACACTCAAGCTAATTCATCGGCGAAGTGAAGATACGAGCGTTAAATTAACTCTCGGAATATTTGCATATTTCCCCTTCTTTCTCAGAGCCGGTTCTTCCCGGGCTAAGATAAGAGATAACAATAACCTGCTTGTACCGTGCCCCTTGACCCGATATAGAAAACTTTGAACCCCCCTCCCCCCCTCCTCCCCCCCCCCCACCCTTTTTAACACGGTCTTGAGCACTTCGTGATAACATGAATTTATTCGAGTTGGAAACGCTAGAGACGTATTTCAACATATTCACTTGAAAAGTTCAAGTGCTGTGAGTAAGTACTGAGTGCAAACACTTCATTTTTACAACGCCGCTTTTATGAATACTGTCTAGGCTAGCTCATGCTTGTGCGCGAGATAACTTCTCCTCCTCCTCCTCCTCCGCTTTAGTTTTTACCAGCTGTAAAAAGTTCCGAGTGGTTGTCTAGTTCTGGACTTTGGTCTAGTTCTAGAGCCTGGGTTTTGCATTCAAGTCTCTGATTTATTTGCATGCAGACTTTTGGTTCCTCGCCTGTTAGGCAGATAGATGCATACCGACTTGGAAGGAAAAACCCCGCCTCCTGATCACCTCCTACGATATGCTTGCTAGGGGACAGTGAATCTATTCGTCTGCCCCCCCCCCCCCCCCCCCCCCCCCCCCCCCCCCCCAACTAGGGCCCTGGAACCCAGACCGAAGTGCGAGACAATGAGAGTGCGCATCTGTTGGGTTCAAGGGCATCGTTGCATAAAGTAAAGAACCAAACGCATCAAGGTATATCCTGATTTTCTTATATATTTACTGACCAATAAGTACGCAGTAGGTGAAGAAAATGAACATTTCCCCCACCTTTACTTCCTAGAGTATTTCCTGGCATCCGTTGTAGCCTGGGTCGACCTGTGAGCCCTATATCAATTAAAAAATAATTCCAATTCGAAACATATGCCAAACCCATACGATTTCAAGTTGGGAAATGAGCACTTGTTTTAACCAATTGCTGTGTTGCATGTTAAGATGATATCTTACATAGAAAGTAGTTACAGCCTCGGATATTCCCGTCTATCCATTGCTTGCGTCGTCGAACTCTAGTCTGCTTCTGTTATTTCTAAGGGCTGTCAGTGGTACACTGCTTGATGGTATTCTTGACACATGTCCGAACCATTTGATGTGTTGTCTCTGAATGTAGTTTAGTACTGGTTCGTCCCAATTTGTTTCCTGATATCATCATTTAAGATCCTGTCTCTTCTGGGTATATATAGGATTCGTCGTAGACATTTCATGTCTCTTGTTTCGATTTGTCTTTCTCTTTTGTTGTAAATGTCCACGTTTGACACTTGTAATAGTTTTGGTTTAAATACTGTATTTAATAGTCAGTGTTTTTTTTTAATTGTAACAGACTCTTAAAGAATGCTGAAAGGGTAAAGACAGGGATGCTTCGAGCAGAGTAGCAAGCTTCACTGGAAAGGTCACTTTGGATTTTTCTCCAGACCCTGCCGGCGTGGTGGGTAATGAACAGACAGACAGATTGGCTGGATCTGCGCCATAGGTGGTGAATTGATACATGACAAGGCAGATGTGGTCAAGGCCCTTTGGGAACAAGCAACAGAATATGTAGAGAAAGAAGATTATTATGTCCTGGAGAGAATGAGGCACCTGGGTGTAACTAGAGGGTCTGGCCAGCTGACTACACTCGGAGGAAAGGCAAGACGGAAATTGGACCAGATTGTCACTGGAACTCTGCGCTGTCTGCTAAAGATGATGACGGAGCATACATGGGAATGCTCCAAGTGCTGTGATGTCAATTCTTGACTCAAATCAACTCAGATGATGGTGTGCTGAATATTGATACATGCTGGGCTTAGAACATAAAGACTGGATGAGCCAATTTTCCACACACGCGAAACGTAGTTTGATTACCAGAACAAGATTTTGTCGCGGTGACAGGTATGTCATCTTTTCCTCTGTGGTAAGAGCTGTTGCAGTGGAGAAGGATTCGTGTGCGAGCCCTCTTTTCAGTATCTGAGAGATGTTCTCGATCAACTATCTTCCTGCCGGTTCCCCTATATGTCGAGTTGCATCTGTTACACATTATGGCATACATTATGTTTCAGGATTCGCATGTAAACGCTTCCCTGATTTGGAAAGAACCATTAGGGAAACTGACCAATGAGGTCTGGACAACGAATGGGTCTCTTGTGCACGATGTGCGGGAACATTCCGTAGTCCCAAAAGAAAGTGGTGTGTGAATCGGCGAGGGTCGGCTGCTGACCAGTATATCTTTTAGGTTGCTGTCTCGTCTGTATACTAGTCTAGGCTTCTCACTGAAGATCAACCGAGTGCCCGTGTTAGAGCGGAGGATGTCCGAGTAGCGAAAAAATACTTCGGAATCAACCACATTGTTAGAATAAAAAGTTAGAAAACAACAAGGGTCCATCACTAGTGGAATTACATTTGGTGGGCAAATCATATCTCCAAATCCAGGTGAAGGGTGGTACTTAAGAACCTCTTGTAGGATGTTTTCATGATAGAAATAAGTCTCTAGGAAATCAAAACCAAGTATTCCTGAACAGCCTTCAGTCTGTAATTGTACCACGGGACATCCTTTTGTTTGTAGGGCACGTCAAGTCCAACGTGAAGCTTTATTTATCCGGCTTGCAGGTTCACGGCTATCATCTGAAATATCAAACTTATCTGGTTGGTTCTGTCGTTGACTCTAGGAGAACCGTGAACTCAGGCGTCACTAACTTAACGCGGAGGGCAGGTCGGACATACAGCGACACTGAGACAAATCTAACAGGCCTGTCATCTGTTCACGCGATCCCCACCTACCCAAGTGTATGGATTTTCGCATTTGTGAACGTTGTCATAAGTGTGTCTGTATCGTGGAGAACGCGGCCGAGCTTTAGTAGCCGAGTATTTAAATGTGGTTCCTGATGGACTAGCCGGATATTGTTTGGTCGGTTTGGATATTCCTGTAAGTCTTTTCGACAGGTTAAACATATCTTTTTCTGTTGGCTTTTGGATTTCTTCTTCTTTTTCTTCTTTTCTTCTTCTTCTTTTTCTTCTTCTTCTTTTTCTTCTTCTTTTTCTTCTTCTTCTTCTTCTTCTTCTTCTTCTTCTTCTTCTTCTTCTTCTTCTTCTTCTTCTTCTTCTTCTTCTTCTTCTTCTTCTTCTTCTTTTTCTTTTTCTTCTTCTTCTTCTTCTTCTTCTTCTTTCTTCTCCTCTTCCTTCTTTAACATTTCATAATATCTATTTAAGTCTGTGTTGATCTGTGAACCATGATAATTTAAAATAAATAAACCTTAAAAGGGAAGGGGAGGAAAAAGGGCGGGGGGGGGGGTCATTTAAAGTAATAAGGACTCTTCTCATATCATGGTCCGAGACTCACGTTTTTATAAAGTCATATGCGCTCACAGTAAGATGTCAACATCACCCGAGTCTCTTTTACTTTTACTCTACTTCCCATGACATTTTTGGTAAGGTCGATCTGGTAAAACAAAAACAAAAAACAACTTTGGTGCATGCAGCAAGCACCTAACGTTGTGCCTCAACGGCTGTCGAGACTGTAGCGACAGTAGGAGTTAAACGTGTCAGGATAAAGTGTTCCTCTTCTAGGATTGCATTCTTTAGAATTAACATTTCATTAACAGCTACAAATCCCCGGTTCAGCCCAATAGCCATTAACATATTTGTTGGTACAACAAATCTGTTATAAAGTAACCGGGAGTCTAGTGTTGGTGGGTCTGGGGTTGGATACGGTAGCCACTATCTGTCACAACTTGGTTTATACAGTATATAACGGCTGAAGGATCACAGCGGCTAATTGTTTGCACCGTGACCTGAAGATCTTCAATCCAAATCCTATTGATCCTTACAAATATGGGTTAGCATCATATGACCGATACATCACTGACCGTGACATCACATGGCCTGCTTAAAAAAAGTTATACACTAAATAAATTTATGCAGCAACTAAGAAACACTAACAACATTGTTTTCTTTCATTTTCAGGAACAGTTCCCAACTCCGGCCACTGAATTTACACACCTGCACATTGTTACTAAAGTAAATGATGTTCCCTCAGATTCCTATTGGTGCGGGTACTGGATAACGTCTTCATCACTGGATATACTTCGTAGAGTATCGACAATTTCAAACAGATTATTTTGAAATCAACGTTTTATTTATCCCAAAATTAAAATTCCTTAAGAATTATTATCATATAGACAAAAGTACCTTTTTAGAATATTCATGAATTTCTTCCATTAATGTGTACAAAATAACAGACAGAAACGCAATAATTTCACGTTCGCCATAGTTAGATAATCGTAGCTTAAAAAGGAAAAGACAGGAGAAATCACCTCTCTCGAAATTAGTCATTTTACTTCTTTAACCTTTCTTTAAGGTTAATAGAACATCTACATTCATAGACAAGAGTCATTCGTCTTTTAATTTGACAAGTCATCACGCTTGTGGACTTGTCTACATTGTGAAGTCCATTGCCATCTGGCCTCACTCCAGTAGTGAGACGAACAACAATTTTGTATTTCCGCTATAACATCGCGAAGTC